GTTGGGGGTGCTTTTTTCGGAAGACGGGGGGAGGGGGGTGTCTGAATTTACTGTATTTTTCCTGTTTTATTTTTAGCCCAATTTTTAAACGACTTTTTGTTAAATTTTTAAAACTTAAACAAGGTTTCTCCCCCTCGCCCCTCTTTGAGACATGCTCAAAACAAAGGTTAACGTTTTAAATAGTAGGGCAAAATGTTGCAAATTATTAAACCTTTATGTAACGATCCCTCCCCCACCCCCTTTTCACCTTTTTGATTAGCTTAAATAAAGTCGCTCAACCGTGTTTAATATGGTACGGCTGACACCGGTTTGAAATCCCAGGGGATCATTCTTGAACTTAGGTGTTTCTATTAAGGCCACTTTTGCTCTTTCCTTACGTGGTTTTTAGACTCAACTAATAATGTTTTACATTTATCTAGGCATAATTTAAAGCATTTAGGAAACGGGCTTCGACCTTTTCTGTCGGGGCCAGCTTATGCACAAACGTCTCAGCAGAAAGATAGAAAAAACTCAATGAAAATGCTCCCAACACGGAAATTGAACTCAGATCTTCTGCGTGCGATGGCGTACCGCACCGATCCTTACAGGGTGGGGGTTTCTGATCTTTAAAAAAAAGATCATGTCGGTGTTTAGAAGGACTTGCTCTGAAAGTGTCATTGGGTTAGCAATACGTACTACAAAGCTTCCAATTACTATCTTTGAAATTTAAAATGTTTTGCTTTTCACCTATTTGTGCTGCGCGAGGGTTTACAAGTGGTCCTTAACTTATGTTGAAGTTGAAGTCTGCATTTCGCGCGGCCTTCTGTACACAGATATTGCCCCCCAAAGAGTTGAGACATTGGATGTGCTTAGTAGGTCAAGGCCAAATACGTTTTGAACGGTGGGCTCAAGTTTACTGTGCCAACGACTCTTCTCGAGACATGTGAGCAATATATTAGTATGTCTACAGCTAAAGGGCGAGTGCTCTGGTGTGGCTTGCTCCTTCTTTCTTGTCAGAAATCTACCATTTTTATAACTCTAATAATAATTCCTTCTTTTCTTTGAATGTTTCTCTTTTGTAACACCTTTGGGCCTAATCTTCGGCATAATGTATGTGATCTAATTGTGTTGAAAGTGCCGTAAGACTCTTACTAAAATTACATGTAAAATAGCTGATAGGTGGAGAGGTGTACCACTACCACAGCAAGCTCATGATGAAGGAAGCACACAGTGGAGGCAGATTTCACTGGCACCAGGTGAGCTCTGTGTGTGTGTGTGTGTGTGTGTGTGTGTGTGTGTGC